GCCACTGCGCTCCAGTCTGGGCGACAGAGTGAGACTCCAACTCAAAAAAAAAAAAAGGATGGGTCTGACAATGAGGCCCAGGTCAGGACTCCCTCATTTTAAAGAAAAAGGGAGAGCAGATATGGTAATCTCAGCATTTTGGGAAGTCGAGGTGGGAGGACTGCTTGAGCCCAGGAATTCAAGGCCAGCCTGGGCAATATTGTGAGACCCCCATCTCTACAAAAAAATTAGCTGGGCACAGTGGCTCACACCTGTAATCCCAGTACTTTGGGAGGAGGCCAAGGCAGGAGGCTTGCTTGAATCCAGGCGTTTGAGACCAGCCTGGGCAACATAGCAAGACCTTATCTCTACCAAAAATTCAAAAAATTAGCTGAACATGGGTTGTGTGCACCTGTAGTCCCGTCTACTTGGAAGGCTGAGGAGGGAGGATCACCTGAGCCCAGGAGGTTTGGCTTTGGTGAGTCATGATTTTGCCACTGCACTTTTTTTGCTTTTTTTTTTTTGAGTCGGAGTCTCCCTCTGTCGCCCAGACTGGAGGGCAGTGGCCACTCCCGGCCACCGCAGCCTCGACCTGCTGGGCTCCGGCGATTCCTCCGTCTCAACCTTCCAAGTAGCCAGAACTACAGGTGCACACCACCACGCCTGGCTAATTTTTGATTTATTGTAGAGACGAGGTATTGCCAAGTTGCCTGGGTGGGTGTCTCGAAGTGGCAGACTCAGACAATTTGCTCACCTCGGCCTCCCAAAGTGCTGGGATGACAGGCTGAGCCACCGAGCCTGGCCACCACTGTGCTCTTTCATTCTGACTCTGCGGAGCCTTGAAGGCCAAGGTGAGCCTTTTGGATTTTACTTCAAAAGCAGTAGGGACCCTATGGAAATTTTATGGGGAAGGTGGCCGGGTTTGTGTTGAGTCTTGGTTGCTCCAAGAATCCAACGGTCAGAATCCAGGACGCCCAGTTAAATTTGAATTTCAGATAAACAATGAATGATTTTTAAGCATAAGTATATCCCAAATATGGCATTGGCTATACTTATACGAAATGAAGTTTGACTCCGTCTGTTGTCCAGGCTGGAGAGCAGTGGTGTGATCATGGGTCACTGCAACCTTGAACTCCTATGATCAAGTCATCCTCTTGCCTCAGCCTCCCAGGTAGCTTGGACTACAGGCATGCACCACCACACCCAGCTAATTAAAACAATTTTTTTAATGGCCAGGCATGGTGGTTTGTGCCTGTAATACAGCACTTTGGGAGGCCGAGATGGGAGGATTGCTTGAGCCCAGGACTTCAAAATCAGCTTAAGTAACAGAATAAGACCTTGTCACTACAAAAAATAAAAAAAGATTAGTCCGGGCGTGGTGACTCAGCCTGTAATCCCAGCCCTTTGGGAGGCTGAGGCAAGAGGATTGCCTGAGCCTGGGAGTTCAAGACCACCCTGGGCAACTTGATGAGACCTCGTCTCTACAATAAATCACAAAGACTAACTGAGTGTGGTGGCGTGTGTCTGTACTTCCAGCTACTTGGAAGGCTGAGGCAGAAGGATCGCTTAAGCCCAGCAGGTCGAGGCTGCAGTGGCCATGAGCGGGCCATTGCACTGCAGCCTGGCCGACTAGAGTGAGACTCCAACTCAAAAAGAAAAAAAAAATTAGCTGGGCATGGAGGCGTGAGCCTGTAATCCCAGCTACTTGGGAGGCTGAGGTGGAAGGATCCCCTGAGCCCAGGAGGCCGAGGCTGTGGTGAGCTGCAATTGTGCCAGTGCACTCCAGACTGGGTGACAGAGTGAGACCCCAACTCAAAAGAATTATTGGAGAAAGAGCCCCTGTGACTTGTTGCTGGCCTGGACATAGGCAGAGAGTACAGGCTGCTTCCCTGGACATTTACCCTGAGAGGCAGGAGGTGGGGAGGGCAGGCAGGGTCTGACTCCAGGATGAGGCCCTGACTCAGAGCAGCCCTGGGGGTCAGCTGCTTCCTGCCCGTGGCTTCCCCCAGGCCAGGGGCTTCCCTCTTGTGCTGCTGACATTTGGGGCTGAACCCTTGTAGGTTGTGGGATGCCATCCTGGGCACTGCCGGCTGTGAGCCAGGTCCCTGGCTTCCACCCCCTCCATGCCAGGAGCACCCCTGGTCGTGACAACCACAGATATCTCCGGGCATTATCAAGTGTCCCCGGCAGGGGCCAAATCACCCCTGGGTGAGACCCCCCTGGCTTAGAAGACTCCACAGACTCCCAGAGCCTTTTGTCTTGGAACCTTCTGCTCTCTGAGGCCCCAGGAAGTTGCACACACAAAAACCCACGCGCCGAGGGGAAGGGAGAGGCGGTGAGTCCTAGGAATTGAGCTGGGCCCCGGTTCTTTTTTTTCTGAGTTGGAGTCTCACTCCGTCACCCAGACTGGAGTGCGGTGGCCACTCCCGGCCACCACAGCCTCGACCTGCCGGGCTCCGGCGATCCTTCTGCCTCAGCCTTCCAAGTAGCTGGAACTACAGGCATGCACTACCACACCCGGCTAATTTTTTGATTTATTGTAGAGATGAGGTCTCGCTGCCCAGGCGGGTCTCGAACCTGCGGGCTCAGGCAATCCACTCACCTCAGCCTCCCAAAGGCGTGGGATTACAGGCTGAGCCACTGAACCTGGCTATGGGCCCCTGTTCCACACCGTTGGCCCCGTTGGGAGTTGATTCTGGTGTCTGGTGTGAGCAGGTGTCAAATTCAGTATCTCTCTACCTAATTAACACCAGGTCTTCCCCGGGCCCTGTGGACTTGGGGCCGTTCTCTGGGTGGAGGCTGAACGGCCTCCCTGGTCTCCACCCTCTGCACACCAGGAGCCCTCACTTCTCCCCCTCGTCCCAGCCGATGAGACAACCAATACGGCCAGACATCGGCAGCGTCCCCTGGGGGACAGTCACCCCCTGGTCCAGGGCCCTTGATCTAGTCACTGTGAGATCCCAGTGAGGCTGGGGCAGAGGCAGAGAGAGAGGAGGGCAAGAGACAGAGTGGCCACTGGGACTAGGTCCTGAAAAACCCTCTGGGTTCTTTCTGGAACTTCGACGGTCTTTTTTCTTTTTGAGTTGGAGTCTCACTCTGTTGCCCAGGCTGGAGTGCAGCGGCACGCTCATGGCTACCACGGCCTAGACCTGCTGGGCTCTGGCAGTCCTCTCACCTCCACCTCCCAAAGGGCTGGGATTACAAGCGTGAGCCACCGTGCCCAGCTTTGATGATCTTTCTTGGGATGGGTATTTGGGGAAGGGTGACTGGGAATATGTATCTTGGGAAGGATGACTGGGGACTGGTGTCTGGGAAAGGGTATCTTGGGATGGGTGTCAGGGACAGGTGTCCTGGAATGAGTGTCTTGGGCTGGGTGTCCTGGAACCGGTGTCTGGGGATGGGTGTCTGGGGCCGGGTGACTTGGGACAGGTATCCTGAAACAGGAGTCTGGGGACGGGTGTTGGGATGGGTGTCTTGGGCTGGGTGTCTGGAGTCAGGTGTCCAAGGATGGGTGTCTTGGGTTGGGTGTCATGGACCAGGTGTCCTAGAGTAGGTGTCCTGGAACAGGTGTCTAGGGATGGGTATCTTGGGATGGGTGTCCTGGATGGGTGTCTTGAGATAGGTGTCTGGAGACGGGTGTCCTGGAATGGATGTCCAGGAATGAGTATCTTGGAACAGGTGTCTAAGCTGCTGGAAACTGGGGAAGTCCCAGGCCACATGCTGTTCACGCCCAGAGCCATCACAAAAGCAGAGTCTGATAAAGCTTTTACTATGCAGCCATTCGAGGGTTCAGCTCTGGGGATCCCGGCTCCGAGGGGACACTGTCCCCCCCAGCAGCGGGCTGCCGGCCGAGCCCCCGCAGGCGCTGGTGATGACAATGGGCACCTTGGCCTTGACGCTGGCCAGGGACCAGGGCAGGTGCACAGTGACCACCAACTCGTAGTGCGTGCTCATGAGGCCGCCGTCCCCTGAGGTCCCGCTCAGCGACAGCACCGGCGGCAGCGTGAAGGCGCTGACGATCTTGGTGACGGCGAAGGGTGGCCCGTGGGTGTGGGCCTCCTGGCGCAGGAGCTCGCAGCTGTCCAGGCGCTGCCGCCGCTCGGCACTGGGTGTGAAGCCCTCGAACTGCACGTGGGCGTAGAGGGCGATCACCACCGTCCGGATGCACTTGCGGGTCTGGTTGTGGATTTCCGTGGTGAACTCGACCCTGTCTCCCGGTGTGAAGCTGTCCCGCTCCATCTGGACCTTCAGGCCCACGGATCCCCAGCTGCAGCAGCTGTAGGAGAGGCTCTTCTCAGCCTGGACCTGCAGGGGGTTCTGGGGGAGGAGGGGGAGACGGTGACCGTGAGGGATCCATGCGCCGGCCTGGGGGGACACCCTTCTGAGGCAGGACGCCCCACGTAGCTTCGATACGGCTAGGGAGTTTCTCAGATAATTAGAAATCAGATGTCTGGGCATCTGGGCACCATCTCTTTTTTTTTTTTTTTTTGAGTTGGAGTCTCAATCTGTCACCCAGACTGGAGTGCAGTGGCCGCTCCCGGCCACCGCAGTCTCGACCCGCTGGGCTCCGGCGATCCTTCCGCCTCAGCCTTCCGAGTAGCCGGTAGGCATGCGCTACCACGCTCGGCTGGTTTTTTGATTTATTGTAGAGATGAGGTCTTGCTGCCCAGGTGGGTCTCGAACCCGTGGGCTCAGGCCATCCACTCACCTCAGCCTCCCAAAGGCGCAGGATTACAGGCTGAGCCACTGAGCCCGGCTGGGCACCGTCTTATTGGGACATGAGCCTTTTAAACAGTGACACACGGGCCAGATGTGTGGCTCACGCCTGTTATCCAGGCACTCTGAGAGGCCAAGGCAGGAGGATGGCTTGAGACCAGGAGGTTGAGACCAGCCTGGGCAACAAAGCAAGACCTCATCTCTACAAGAGATTTAAAAAATTACGGTGTGGTGATTCACACCTATAATCTCAGCACTTTGGGAGGCCAAGGCGGGAGGATCACTTGAGGCCGAGTTTGAGACCAGCCTGCACAACAGAGTGAGGCCTCATCTCTACAAAAAAAACAAAAAAACAAAATTAAGCCGGACTCGGTGGCTCAGCCTGTAATCCCGCGCCTTGGGAGGCTGAGGTGAGTGGATTGCCTGAGCCCGTGGGTTCGAGACCCGTCTGGGCAACTTGGTAAGACCTCATCTCTACAATAAAAAAAAAAAAAGAGCCGGGCGTGGTAGCGCGTGCCTGTAGTTCCAGTTCCTTGGGAGGCTGAGGCGGAAGGATCGCCGGAGCCCAGCAGGTCGAGGCTGCGGTGACCGGGAGCGGCCGCTGCACTCCAGTCTGGGTGACAGAGTGAGACTCCAACTCAAAAAAAACCAAACAACAACAACAAAAAAACCAAAATTAGCCAGGCGTGGTGGCATCTGCAGTCTCAGTTACTTGGGATGCTGAGGTGGGAGGATTGCCTGAGTCCAGAAGGTCGAGGGTACAGTGAGCCGTGATCGTGCCACTGCACTCCAGCCTGGGCAACAGTTAGACTCCGACTTACAAAAAACAAGATACCCTGTGGCCGAAACCCAAGTGCTGGGCCTTGGAGTGCGGGATGACTGGCTGTAAGGACTGAGAACAGATCAGCAGGACTTTACTGGGGACACTGAGGCACGGTGCTCTAAGAGAAAACTTAATTAAACAGCTACGTCTCCTGTTATCTCAGAAGTTCCTCGTTACTTTGGGAAGCCCAGGTGAGAGGATTACCTGAGCTCAGGAGTTCAAGACCATCCTGGGCAACTTGGTGAGACCTCATCTCTACAATAAATCAAAAAATCAGCCAGGTATGGCAGCACACGCCTATAGTTTCAGCTACTTGGAAGGCGAGGCAGAAGGATCGCTGGAGCCAGCAGGTTGAGGCTGCGGTGGCCGTGAGTGTGCCACTGCACTCCAGCCTGGCTGAGAGTGAGACTCCAACTCAAAGGAAAACAAAAATAACAACAACAACAAAAAGCAAACGTAGGCATAAAATGGTAAGAGTGGAAACTTGGGATCCAAACTCAGCTCAGATGTCAGTTAACCATCTCCCTGGACAACAGGCGACTTTCTGCCAACAGCAAGGCACGCCCCTTCCCTGAGGACACCCGTGTTCTCTCCTGAATGTGTCCGTTTTTTCTTCTCTCTAATACACTGTACTTTATTTTTATCTTGACTTTTTTGTGTGATTTATTGTAGAGATGAGGTCTCACCAAGTTGCCCAGGCTGGTCTCGAACCCCTGGATCTCAGGCAATCCTCTCGACAGCTGAGCCACAGCACCCGGCTAATACACTGTACTTTAACACACTTTGCGCCTCACTCTGAAATTCCTTTCTGTGGTGAGCCAAGGACCCCAGAGCAACACCTCCCTGCATTCCACATCACTTCGAGCACCTCAAAGTCTCTGAGATGGAATTTGGAGCCTGGGGACGTGGCAGTCAAAAGCCTAAAGTCCTGTCCCAGCTTCCTTGTGTTAAGGCTAGTTACCATTCTGAATGTCAGTTTCCTCATCTATTTCATTGGACAAGAATTCCACAAGTCAGGGGCCGGGCGCTCATACCTGTAATCCTGGTACATTGGTAGGCTGAGGCAGGAGGATCACTGTAGGCCAGGAGTTTGAGTCCAGCCTGGGCAAAATAGCATGACCGCCATCATTACAAAAAATTAAAAAAAAGTTGGCTGGGCCTGGTGGCGTCCACCTATCCTCCCAGCTGCTTAGGAGGCTGAGGCAGGAGGTTCATGTGAGTCCAGAAGGTTGAGGCTGCAGTGAGCTAAGGTCATGACACTGCAGTCCAGTCTGGGTGACAGAGCCAGACCCCGTCTCTGAAAAAAAACAAACTAGCCTCAAACAATAACAAAAAAGTCCACAAGACCCAGGCGTATGCCCAAACTCCATTATTTACTCACTGTGTGACCTTGGGCAAGGCACTTGACTTCTCTGAAAGGCAAGGACTGTCTTACAGACTAAGCCTAAGTCCCAGGTCTCATCTGAATATTTAAATTAAATTTAAATATTTTGGAATAAAGGAGAAAATATTTTGGTTTATCAATCATGAAAAAATCTCAAGCTGAAATTATTGAACGTGATTGAATAAACAGATAAAGTCACATATGCATTATATTTGATATACAGCTTGGGAAAATATTATTTGTTTTATTTGTGGATAGCCTTTTTTTTTTTTTGGAGTTGAAGTCTCACCCTGTCACCCAGGCTGGAGTGCAGTGGCACACTCCCAGCCACTGCAGCCTGGACCTGCTGGGCTCCTGTGACCCTTCCGCCCCAGCCTTCCAAGTAGCTGGAACTACAGGCGTGTGCTATCACGCCCGGCGAATTTTTTTGATTTATTGTAGAGATGGGGGTCTCGCTAAGTTGCCCAGGTGGGTCTCGAACCCACAGGCTCAGGCCATCCACTCACCTCGGCCTCCCAGAGTACGGGATTACAGACTGAGCCACCGAGCCCGGCCAACTTTCTTTTTTTAAGAGACAGGGTCTGATTCTGTTGTCCAGGCTGGAGACCAGTGGCACCATCATAGCTCACTGCAGCCTCAATCTCCTGGGCTCAGGTGATCCTCCCACCTCAGCCTCCCTGGTAACTGGGACTACAGGGGTATACCACCAAGCCCGGATAATTTTTATTTTCTTGTAGAGATGGGATCTCACTTGGTTGCCCAGGCTGGTCTCCAACTTCTGGCCTCAAAGTGGTCCTCCCACCTTGGCCTCCCTATTCATGGATAACATTTTGTTGTTGTTGTTTAGAAAGCAGAATTTATTGAGAAGGCAGAAAGACTCACAGAGCGGAGGGGATCTAAGAGGGCTGCCCTTGTGGATAACATTTTAAAAGGTTTCACGTGATGTGGGGTGTCCTTCGAATGCCTCCAATGCCTTGTTCCTGGCTTCTGCTTCCTTCCTGTGACTCCTTCCAGAGGAATTTGATATTTGTTAACAAGTGTGTGTGCCTGCGTGTGTGGGCAGTCCTTTAAGCCTCCAAAAAAATAAGTGAGAGAGACAAGAGTGTAACAACTCCTCCCCAGCTTTCTTCTGAGTCCTCAATGGTTACATCAAGTAGTTAGTTTGAAACCGACCATGACAGGTGGAAATTGGCAAACACTGCAGGTCACGAGCTGCACCAGAGCCCAATTTTTTTTTTTTTTTGAGTTGGAGTCTCACTCTGTCGCCCATGGCCACCCTAGTGTCGACCTGCTGGGCTCCGGCGATCCTTCCATCTCAGCCTTCCAAGTAGCCAGAACTACAGGCACGGGCTTACCACGCCCGGCTAATTTTTGATTTATTGTAGAGATGAGGTCTTGCCAAGTTGCCTGGGCTGGGCTCAAACCCGTGCCTCAGCCTCCCAAAGTGCTGGGATTACAGGCTGAGCTACTGAGCCCGCCCCAGAGCCCAATTTTTGTTTTTGAATTGGAGTCTCCCTCTGTCACCCAGGCTGGGGGGCGGGGATACAATCAATCATAGCTTGCTGCAGCCTCCAACTCCTGGGCTCAAGTGATCCTCCCACCTTAGCCTCCCAAGTGACTGGGATTACAGGTGCATGTCACCATGCCCGGCTACTCTGTTATCTTCTGTTCTGTTGTTTTGTTATTAAAAATTTGGTTGCAGCCGGGCTCGGTGGCTCAGCCTGTCATCCCGTGCCTTTGGGAGGCTGAGGTGAGT